CGCTATACCCCCTCTAGAATCCAAGGCATCTAAAACAGACCAAACAAATCTACTACTCCCCAAACTGGAAAGGGTTCTAGGATTGGAGGAATTGAACTTTATATCTTCATATCTAAAGATAATAACCCAACTTGGAACAACTTTAACCAATAAAACAGGAAGACTGACTGACTTTATGGTAAGGGTATGGACCCTTCTTTCTCCATGACTTGAATGTCAGAGAGACCTGCTGGATCAATAGGTTCTTGGATGCCACAATTGATAACTATATCATGGAGCTTTTTGAGGCTACGAGAAGAAATTGGCAAAGATGAGGATGAGGATGGAGATTTGCCCTTACTACCTGGGGGGAAGCACCTTTTCATGATGGCTAAATGCTTCTTGTGGGGTAGGTGAGCCAGCATCCTCTTTGACGATTTCTTCTTGGAGGTTCTCTTAACATGCTCGAAACCTGGAGGGGGAGCTGAGGAGGAAGCCCCATCCAGGGAGTCAGAGGAACTACTGACCACCACTGGGGGAGAGTCTTTGGATGAGAATGGGGGCAACTTTGGAATTTGTAGCCAGATCGGAGATAGCAACAGATAACAAAGCCCATGATGCTCTAGTGATCTTTATGGGACCTCCTTGAAGGGAGACTACCATAAGCTCCTCATGAACTGGCGCCAGCTGAGGGGGCAGAGATGAAGGGGGGACTGAAGAGCCCTTAGGAGGAATCTGGGTGGGCCCACCCTCCGCCTCTACTACCTGTTTGCCTTTGAGATTGGGGGATTAGGAGGAGAATCTGGGAGAAGAAAATTACCTTCCACCGAAGCCTTTTGGGCTTCTGAAGACGTTCTTTTGAGAGATATGGGAGTCTTAGAAGATGATGGAGGGATTCCTTCAGATCTGACGAAGAGCTCAAAGTATTCCAAACATTTATCTTTGTGACTAGGTAGAGGATTACCTGCCATTCTGAGCTGCACCGAGCCCTCTAGAATGAGGATGTCATCTGGGGAGGAAAAGCGGAAGATCACCGATCTAGGAATCTCAGAGGGGTCTCGAACACTCAAATCATAGCCTTACAGTCTCTAGCATCCGATTTAATCATAACATCATCAGAGACCGCGATGACGTCACCGATGTCTCCAAGTAGGTTAGAGATGGACTCAAAGTCCCATAGGTGGATGGGGCAGTCCCAGAATCTCGACCCAAATATACATGAACTTGGGCAAGACCTTGAGTCCCAGTTCATCAGACCAACGCGAGAATACACCTCTAAAAGAACCCATGTCGAAAAACTCTTTAGAACATGCTAAAGCTAGAGTGACTTCGTTGGGGAATTGAAGAAAGAAGGAGGAGCGAGAAGAACGCTTGATTTTAAAAGATCATTTCTCTACATTAAGGTGATACTCAAGATTTTCTATAAGTTCAGAGATGGAAGGATTACCCACCTGGATCTCAAAGAAGCCATAGGAAGAATATTCTTCCATATTCTAAATATTAGTCCCTCCTTAAATCATCAATATTTTCATATTAGTCCTCCAAATATTTTTTTTTTTGTATTTGTCCCCTAAATTGCGGTAATATGCTGACACTAGTCTCTATGTTGTTTTACTTTTTAAAACCAGCAATCTTATTTAAATTTAGGCTAATAATGGGTTATTAATTACTAAAATGCCTTGCATTAAATTCCCCCATGCAATAAAAATTTCCCACCTTCTTGATTTCAGCTCTTGATAATCACATTTTATTATAATTTTATACCCTCATTATCTATTTTACATGAATAAATATACCATTAATAATTATTGTTAGCTTAGTTTGCACATAAATGAATGAAAATATAAATAAATATTATTAAATATAAAAACCCCTTAAAAATCTCTCTTCTCTATTTTGTAGCATTTTAGAAGCCCATGAAGCAAAAGGTTAAAAGAGGAAAATGATTGAAGCCCAAAGAGCAAAGCCCATAAAAAAAATACACCAAGGAAGCTATGCTTGGATGCAAAGAGTTGGAATTAATGGACTTGGATGCAAAGATTACAACACCATGATGGTGCTGCATTTTTTTATGACCGAACTGCTTTGGTTTTGAAATGGGCCGGACTTGAAGGATTAAAGTATTTGGAAAATGTCTACATGGGCCGGACTTTTACAACTTGCAATGGACTTGCAATGGACTTGTTTTGGTTGATTGCTGCAGAGTTTAACCGGACTGCAGAGATTCTCATGGACCGGAGCTGCAAACCAATGACCGGACTTGTTGAGCTCTTCATGTTCGGTTTTTAAAGAAAAAAAATCAAATGGGAAAACCGGATTGCTAGACTCATATGCAAGTGGGCCGGACAAGCTGTTGCAGTTTTAATATTCTTGAATGGGCCGATTTGATTTTCTTTTGATGAATCCAGTGGACAAGTGCTGTAGAAAATTGTATTGGGCTGCAGCTTTGATTGGAGATTTACATTTACATTTTGAAATCAAATGATATAGGCCGGACTTGGTTGTTCATTTTCTTCTTGGAAAATCAAATGAAGATTGGGCCTTGGAAAATCAAATGAAGATTGGACTAGAGAAGAACAAAAAGCAAATTCAAAGGTGGAGATTGTTGCTTGGGGCTCAAGACAAATCCAATGGCTCATATTCATTGAAGATTACTATAAATAGGGGTAGAGAGTGAGGGGTTAAGGGTGTGAAAAATTTTGTAAACTCCTTTTGGAGAGGAGGGCTACTCTTAATTGAGAAGGCCTTTTAAAAATTATAACTTTAGTTGCAATTAATAAAAATAATTTTTTCCTCTTTAAATTTGTTCTTTCTCCTCTTTGTTGAATGATGAGGATGGAGATGAAGAGCAAATTGAAGGTTTACATTTCTTTTCTCTTTTATTTCTTTTTAGTAATTTCTTTATTATTGCTTATTAGTTAGATTTAAATTCATGCTTGCAGTGTAGATTTATTTTCTTGTCTTTTTTATTTCTTTATGCACTTTAATTTGTAGAGTAGATTTATTTTTCTTGCATTTAATTTCTGCAATTTATTTTGTAGTTTAGATTTTTATTTTCTTTGTAATTAGATTTATTTCTTGTTCATAGTTTAGATTTTTCTTTTCTTTTTAATTTTGTAATCTGTCTTCTTTTTCTTGTTTTTATTTCTTTAGATGTGAATTTAATTCTTGTAGGAATCTTAGAATTGTATGAAACTAGTCTAATTTCTTTTATATTGTATGAATTACTCTCTTGCACTTAAAATGTTCATGTTTAGGATAATCAACTAGAGAACTAATCGGTAGAAGAAGAATTTGATAATCTATACTTTCCTTAAATGGTTTGATAGGTTATGCTTATGAATTCTAGGATTATTATCATGTTGTTGTTCTTATCATGAATAGTAATTTTAACTTAGATGATAATTTGATAGGTTACACTTTCCTTAAATGGTTTGATAATCTATGCTTAATAAATCTAAGTTGAAATATGATAAAAAGAGAATAGTTTATATTTTATAATTGAAATTGGTTAGTTGATTATATTCTAGATTTCTTACCTCTTTTGAATCCTTCATCTTAACTTTCTTAAATTTTCTTTTCATTCTTAGTTTTATTTCTTGATTTTATTAATTCATATTTTTTGCCTTGTGATTTCATTTATTCTTTGATTCTTTCTTCTCTAAAATTCAATTTATTATCTGTTGCACATAAATCAAAACAACCACTCATCAAAATCACACTTATTCTTTATTCCTAATTGTCACGCACAAAACATAAGAACCATTTCTAATAATCTCTTAAAATCACCTTCCTCATGGGATCGATATTTTTATACTATAACTTGATCAATTGTGCACTTGTAATTTTGGTACATAATTATGCTGCATCAGCTCTCTTTTACACAAAAAGCTACTAAGGAAATAGGTTCGGATTTGGGGCTCTTATCGAGTTTAATTTAAAGATTTGGTGGGTTTGAGTATTAGGATGGAGAGTATAACTTGCAATTAAAGAAAAAAGTTAAACATAATGTAATATTTTACAATATTTTTATCAAAGGGACTAATATAAGCGTATTAATGCAATTTGGGGGAATAATATCAAAATATGATTTGGGAAATTAATATCAAAATACTAATGATTTAAGGGACTAAGGGCTAGTACGATCTTGCCTTTTTTAGGGTGCTTTTGCTTATTTTTTTTAATAAGCGGTCAATAATGGTGTTTGGTGAAAACGTTTTTGACATGCTTATTAAAACTGCATCTACTTTCAAAAAGATGCTTTTAGAAGAAACCTGGGGATGCTTTTAAAAGCATCTTTTAATTTCTTTTACATTATACACTGCATATACCTTTCATCTTTCCATAATGATTATTAAGTACGGTTCTACCAAATATAATAACTGCTTTTTAAGCAATTTTTGATATTTGATTACCAAATAGCTATTTTCAGTAGCTTATGTAAGTTGCTCCTATAAACTACTTTTATACGTAACTTATTATAAGCTCCAGCAATACCAAACTGACCCTAATATCTACAAAAAAGCTCATTTAAACAAATTGGAAGGCTTACATCATAGTATTATATCTACTCTATAATATATTCTTTTTCAATATTTTTTTATGCATGAATAATTTTCTTATGCAGAGAGAAGGATACACATGTCAATATTAACATCATCATTTCTTCAATATTTATTTATAGTTTTATAGCAAAACAAACGAGATTCACATTTTCTGGAAAAGATCATAAAAATAAGTTTGGTATGCAAAAATGTACAAACAAAGAGAAGAAAGGTGTTAACAGAAACAACAGACCATCCTAATATTTACCTAAAGAGTGGTGTTAGGGACACACCATTAAACCACACTCCCAACCACATCCCTCTCTCTCTATAGTATTGTTTGGATTTTTTTTAATGGAACATGTGGGTCCCAACAAGCACTATAGGAAGAGAGAGATGTGGTTGAGAGTGTGGTTTAATGGTGTGCCTCTAACATTTCTATTACCTAAACTGATCCTTTCTCTCTCAAACCAAACAAAATGACAATTCTATAGAAAGTTTTTCATTGAGCATTAAAGACAAATCATCTCCAAATAATTTTTCAAGACTTTTGACAATGATAGAAACCCCAACTATCCAAAAATTAAATCAATTGATTACAGAACTCGGACAAATATTTGCTAATATCTACACAAGTTCTCAAACCCCATGTATCCGTGGTGTTCGATCTTTCTGATAATGTTCGAGATACCAACTCCACCTGTTCACGAAAAAAAAATTGTCATAAGTCAGAGTACAAGGTAAACTTTTGATAGGTAAAATTATATATGATATCAAAAGGGTAAATTTCACAAAACTACTATCAATTTTGATGGTTTTCGCAAACGAAAACTTATAATATATATATATATATATATATATATATATAATAATTATATATATATTATATATAATATAATATATATATATATATATATATATATATATATATATATATATCCTTGTTATAGGAGGGATTTCCTCCTTGTCGCCTATGTGGCACAATCCCCACCATCCTCATAAAGTAGGCATAAGATCCCCACCAACTTACACCCTCTCTCCTACTTTATGAGGATGGTGGGAATTGTGGCCAACATAGGCGACAGGAGAAAATCTCCTCCTATGACAGGATACCCATTAATCTATATATATATATAATATATATATATATATATATATATATATATATATATATATATATAAAAAAGAAGAAAGAAAAACTTATGTCAACTTAAGTGGACGCATCCACGCAAAGTTTCTATCCCATTAATGAAAAGTCTCTTCATATGATCACGACTCTCTAGGTGTCATAAATGGATAGAAACTTTGGTGGATGGTCGCACTTAAGTTGACATAAAGTTTCTCGTCTCCTCTCTCTCTCTATATATATATATATATATGATATATATATAAATTATATATATAATGTAACACGTATTTAAAGTACATAAGAGAAAAATTGTCCAAAACATGTCATGTGGTTTGCACTTGACAATTATGTGAACTGTGATGAGACATGATAATTTAGTGAAAAAAAAATTCATGATAATTTTCTTTAATAAGAATTTTACATAGTTTTGTACAAAACATCTCAAATTCATGATACTTTTTTCTAATAAAAAGTTTATGGTACTTGGAAATTTACTCTTACCAAAATCTTGCAGCTTTTACATTCAATAATTGTTTGATTTGCAAAATTATAATTGTACTTACCTATAATCATTATTTGCAAAAGTATGTTTTAATTACTACTACAGCTATTTGATTAGATGCAATTAAATTAGTTATTTATTAAATGTTAATTGTAGTTACAAAATGTCTATAATTGCAACAATAAAAATCGTTCAACATCTTTTCCAAAATTTGACTCTAATTATAATCATAATTTTTTGCGTACCTAACAGTCCTTAAAAGCTCAATATTTCAAATAATAGGGAAGAGTTGCACTTTACCAAGCGAGATTGCACTGACGAAGATTGTGAAAGCCAAGATGAAGATGATAAGCGAAGCCCTGCCCATTACAATGATCAATTGTCTCACCACATGTTGGCCGATAAATGCAGCAACAGTTGCAACGACAACAAAGTACAGTGCTAAGAAATCAATAAGGAAATATACTGCATTAGCAAAACCGATATAATTTTGAAAGACTATGCTGTGAAAATTATGAATAAATGAACTTCAGTACCATATGGGACTGGGAAACGGTGTAAGAGATAGTACTCTACAACGGACATTGATGCTGAGAATGTCATGGCAAAGGTAGCTGTAGCGCTTGATACCTGCATCAAATTCCAAATAATGAAGGTCAAATATGCAAATATAACATCAACATCGAAAGCACTAGGAAGATTCTTACTAAATTTGATAAATCAAAACTAGTAGTAATATAATAAACAGAGTAGATGAAACAACATGCACCAAATTTGTATCGATGTGTACATATGTATTACAACAGACCTAAGATCAAATCAATAATATTTGTGTTATACCCAATAACATTTATTCAAAGTTTTCATCATTCAAACTTATTACCCTACATGGCAACATGGGATTTAGGATAATGTTGAAAGTTGGGGGGGGGTTGCTCAAAGTTCTGGGTTTTTTTGTGTAAACTCAGCCCCCAAGAACTTTCAGTATTTTACTCAAAGGGTAAATTAGACTCAGCCCCCAAGAACTTTCAGTATTTTAGTAAATTAGACTCAGCCCCCAAGAACTTTCAGTATTTTGTACAAAACCCCAATAACTTTCAAAATTGCAGTAAACCCCCAATAACTTTTGGAAAATATCCCCAATATATTTTGAGTAAATTACAGTAAACTCAAAATAACTTTCAAATTGTTTTTTGGTTCTAATTTATAAGGGTTATAAGCAAAGCGTAGAAACGTATTGGGGGCTTTGCAAAATGCAATCTTGAAAGTTATTGGGGGTTTCCTACAAAATGCTGAAAGTTCATGGGGGTTTGGTGTAATTTACCCATTTTGTAATTTACCCTTTGAATAAACTGGGTCAACAAAGTCATTAGAGAGATTTAGACGTTGATCTGCTACATTTATCTATATACCAAGACTACAGCAGGTTGTAGTGTAGCTTCTATTGTTCAAGCACATGCCAATAGTATGTTAGAAAGGTAAGGGTTTTTTCTTAACTCAAAACCCAAAAGTCTTACCCCATTTATTTTTGTATCCACTCCTTTCCAAACTGTGTTTAATCTATAAAACCAAAATTTTACTCCCTTTTATTTTGAAACTCATCCACTCTCAACGGGACTTTTACCTATAAACCTAAAGTTTTCCACCGTTAATTTTAAATCCACCCAAAATCACTCTTAAACCTAATATTACATCTAAATTTTTATCTTCATTATTAAACTCGCTCATTTCCTAAAAGATTTTACTGCCAATGAATCGAAAGTTTTAACCGCATTTATCTTTACCAACTCACTTCCAAACTCATTGACTACTCAACCAGATTAATTTTAAACCAATTTTGTAAATCAGCAATTTTTTATACTGTGTAATTTGTAATATTTTTTTGTTGTAACTTGCTTTATTTTGGTGTAACTTGCTTTACTGTTGTTGCGACTTTCTTGATTTTTTTTTCAATGTATTTGTATAGTGTATTGTTAAACAAAATGGTTAGGACATTAATTTTTTGGACTTGTTTCCACCGATGTTGTGGCATGGCAAATGACAGATAATTTTTTGCTTATAAAACACACTTTTACTTTTCCCCCCCCCCCCCTCCACTTATTTTTAAACAACACACTTCCAAATTTCTTTTCCATATAAACCTAAAGTTTTAGCCCCTTAATTTTTAAATCCACTCACTTCCAAAATCCAATTGAGACTCAATGCTCCACTGAATTAATTTCAAACTAACTTTGTAATCCTACAGTTTGATCTACGGTATAAGTTATTATATTTTACTGTAAATTGCTATAGTTTTGTTCTAAGCGGTTAGATGTGTGTTGTATTTTTAAATCAAATGCTTGAAGAGGAGGAGGAGGAGGAGGAAGAGAAGAGGAGAAAGAGGAAGAAGAGGAGGAAGAGGAAGGGGAAGAGAAGAAAGAAGAAGAAGAGAAAGAGGAATAGAGGAAGAGGAAGAGGAAGAGGAGGAAGAATTATCATTATTATTATTGTTATTATTTCGCTTTTTTATGCCGTAAAATAAAAAATGCCTATGAACCCAAAATTTTAGACCCATTTGTTTTTAAGCCCACCCACTTGCAAGATTACACTTAGATTGGTATTATTTTATTTGGCTTTTTTCACACTAATACCGCAGCATCATGCGGGTTAATTTTACTTGTTTAGAACTAATATCTTGCTGTTAAGCCTCCAGGAATGCAAAATTGTGATTTCGTAGTTTCACTATTAAAAGGGTTCTTCAGCATCCAAGTAAGTTAACCTAAAATTATAAGTTTCCAGGTTAGTTTGTTTTAATGTTGTTTATATGGTAGTAAACAAAATCATATTCAAATGAAATTGAAAAAGAAACACATCACTTACATTAATAAAACTAAAATGCTTACATAAAACACTGTAGTTTGTATATCATAAATTAATTTCATGCATTAGTAGGCATTAAAATAATTTAAAAAAACCTAGTGTTTGGTTGTAGTAAGACAAATCTCTAAGTTACATAAGTTATTATGAATTAGTAAACCAAAACAGCTAAAAACAATATAACTTGGGCACTATAAACTAATTCTTTAAACTTATAAAACCATCAGTAACTTGAATAATCTTTAAGCATACACGAATGCAGACATACACTATGGATCCATACATCAAATAGATTAGTAACAACTAAACAGTTAAAGGAAAGACTTGACAGTTCTGATATTTTAAACAAATTCGTACTTTACGTAAATTAACAGTTTGTAATTATTCTTAGTCAACCTTGATTAACAAAGGGGTAACAAAAATATAAATCCATTTACAAATGAAATTGAACACCACACCTCATTGTCATGCATTGTTTCTCTTATGCTCAATGCCAAATTTATCTACCTGTCCATATGGGCATGTAACCTCTAAATATGTGAGGAAAGTAATTAACATTTCTATTTTAGCTTTATTTTGCTTAATTTTTCTAATCTATATGATAATTTGTATTCTACCCATGTTGACAGAATCAAAATTCAAAAATATAGTTTGGGCGCTATTTACATTACTTTTCAGAGTCATTCAGTCATCAGTGACTTTAATAATTTTTAAGCATGAAAACAATGCAGACATGCAGAGAAGAAGGCATATATAACATAGGTTAGTAACTAACAGATAATTCCAAGAAAATCCACAGTCTGACATTATACACAATTTCTAAGCTATTTAAATCAATAGCTGCTCAATATTGTTTGTTAACCTTAATTAAGAAAAGTAGTCAACAGAACATAAATACAATTACAAATCAAATTGACGATGGAACTCGGTACTCATGCATTATGTAAATATTACAGTCTGTGCAATATCTGATTTGTCCTACCTAACCTCTAAGTATTTGAGAAGAAGATTTACATTTCTATTTTAGTATGCTTTCATTTTATTTTTCTCAAATACTCCCTACGATTTGTATTCTAGGCATAAGACAATTTTAGGATAAGACTTACCTGAGGAGGGATTCCGAGCTCTAAGAAAAGAGGACCGAGTATAAATCCTCCACCGAGGCCAAGCAGTCCTCCAACTACACCAGCCATGACACCAGAGAAACAATATAAAACGAGCTGGTGAACTTTCAGGTCTGTTCCTGAATCTCCCTTTGATGCTATTACTCTGTCTCCTCTATATAAGCTAACAGCTTCATACGAACTCACCCCCAAAGCAACAGGGATCTAAAAAATAGCATCACTAATTAATTAAAAGTAAAATAAAAATTAAAACTGAGAGCTCTCTGAAGTATCTAGTGTCTATCACCTGAAGGAAGTTCAACACCCAGTACCAGATCGTACAAGTTGCTGTATAGTTCTGCATGTCGAAAATATGACGAATGTCAACAAAATTCTGGGAAAAGAAGACTATTTTCTGCGTCTCTAACTAAGAGTGAGTAACCTTCATGATCTGCAGAGCTAGGAAAGCCATCCAGACAAAAACAAGAAGACCAAGCTCCTTCCAGCAGACATTTTCGAGAATTGGGACCTTCAATATCATCAGACGTTAGTGTCCAAGGTAAATTACAAACATCCTTCATTAATACTCTGTTTTTCAAGTCCCTCCATCTAAAAAGTTCAACAAATAAAACCCCTTCACTAATGACCGCTGATGAAATAATTAACTTTGTGATGTAGTTTTGTTATCCAGAAATACTGACAGATGTTGCACTTGGGTAGACGTCTGGACATACGTCTACAATTCAGCATCCATAGAGTTTGGGAGATAAAAGGAAGAAAACAACAAAAAGGTTTGTTTTTGGATAAATTAAAAAAATCTAATATTTCTTATCATTAATGTAGAATTCCATATGCGTATATCCGTCAAGATGTCTGAAGAGCCAAACTCCATTAGAAAACTAGCGGTTGCATAATGATCAGAGATGAGTGTTTTTGAACTTTTAGGTGAGGGAGTTTCTTGAATATTAGGAGTAGAAGAGTTTCTTTTTCTTTTCTTTTTTTTTGTTGTTGTATATAGAACAAATTTTTTAAACAGACCCATTTCAATTTTTAATTTTCAAAACCGACTCTTTTTTTTTTATTTACCAAAACCGACCCGATTTTATGATTAGCAGATTAATCACCTTCCTAAATAGTCGGGGTTGGCAACCCCGACTATTTAGGACGGTGTTAAACCCTAATTAGAAGCATTAAACCCTAAAAATTAATGTCCTAAATAGTCGGGGTTGCCAACCCCGACTATTTAGGAAGGTGATTAGTCTGCTAATCACAAAATCGGGTCGGTTTTGGTAAATAAAAAAAAAAAGAGTCGGTTTTGAAAATAAAAAGTTGGAATGGGTCTGTTTAAAAAATTTGTTCTTGTATATACCCTAGCCTTAATTGTCTTGCGATGTCAAGGAAATTATTTTATTGCTCATGCTTCCCACATACCTCAGATTCTAAGTTTGTCTTGATCTCTTGATGATTGTCTGGACCATTAGGAAGAGGCCTGTATTCTACTTCAACTGTGCTGTCTACACAAATATTATCCAGGATGTTTTTATTATCAGATTCCAAACAAATTGAGGATTATTAAATGAGAAAAGGAATATCAGCTTTACCGTTGTTCTCTGCACGTCTAGCAGCCTCCTGTAAATATAAAAACAAGACCTAATAAGTAGAATAACTAAAGAGAAGGGAACATAAATAGGGTAAAATGCCAATAGTACCTTCTTCAATATTGTCTCTTTCTTCCAAGTCTCAACTCCCCTGATAAATGCTTTAGTCGATGTAACTACAAAAGAAAAACACCATCAGAATCCAAACTCTGATTTTCTTAACCCAAAAAAAATCAAATGATTGTGAATGGAACAGATTTATTTACATAAAAAGAGAATGATCAGGAGAATTGTGACCATCCAATCAGGGAAAACGACATTGCATATAACTCCAATGCTGATCCCTAACATGAGCATCGGTTGAATGAGCAGAGCCAAGTCATAGTCAATGATGGGCATTTCTATAGTAGGATGCCTCAATTTAAGATTGTAGTAAACAGTTGAACCTGCTGCGCCCGTTATCATACCTTTTCATGTATCATTACAAGTATTAGCAACAGTTCAAGGGAAATAACATCTTCATCAAGCTAAGAAAAATAAGATATAATAACAGGATTTTGAAAAAAAAAAATCTGTCAGCTTAAACAAGGAGCCAACCCCTAACAGAACTAAATGGAAAAATATAGTTCATGCAGTCGACCCCAACGATTAGGGATGAAGGCTTTGCTGTTGTTGTTGTTTGATGTAAGAAAATAAGTTTTCAAAGGGAGCAAACCGAGCAATAATATGTTGCATACATAGAAGGGGTATAAGTAAAAGTCTACAGTTGAAAGTTCTAGTAAGAGTAATTTCTAAGTACAAAATGAAAAAATTCTTCCCAAAAAAAAAGACAGTGAAATCTATAAAAACCACTACAGACTTAGCCATATAATAGTAAAGAAATATATACACATTTTCTTTTGCAATTACATTAACTTGCAATATAAAGCAACATGGCTCCACAATATCAAGAAAACTTCTCATTTTTACAACAACAAAGTTACAATTCATGCAGAACAAGAAAATCACTAGACATGCAAAAAAAAAGTGCCACAATTCTTACATTTAAATATAGCTGTTGATCCATTTTCAGGATGAACACAATAATCAAAATTGAATTTAGAATATCTGTTTGCAAAAAGAGAGATGATAATTTTATGCATGCGAAGGGGAAAATTAAAATTTTGAAAGTTCAACTGAGAACAATACAATACATGATCTTTTGAATCAGAAAACCAATGAAAAATCTACTAAATCCACTATAAACTTAGCTATCTAAGAGTGAAGAAATACACATTAACTTCTGAATTTACATTGAATTTGCAATACAAATCCAAAGTGACTCCAAAATATCAAGAAAATGATCATCTTTTATCAGGACCAAATTATAACAAAGGACAACAAAATAATAAAGTGTGCAGAACAACAAATCATTAAACAATCTAGATTTAACAATATTTGTTCTCGAAAAGAAAAATGACAAATTTTTGAAAATGGATGGGAATAAGTTTAATTATTTGAAAGTTCTGCTAAAGCCCTTCCAAACTAATTTCAGTTTGCTATGTAACAGTAAAGAAACATACATTTTCTTCTGGAAAAAAGTAGGAACTGCAATACAAACCCAACAAGGCTCTGTATAATCAAGAAAGTTCTCTTGTTTGGGTGTATAGGCATATAGACCCTAAATTCCTAAATTCTTTCTTAATTATATTAGGCTGCCAAAACTTCATATATCTAAGTTAAACTCCAAAACCTATTAAGTTGTTTTAAATAACACTGCCAGGTTGGATTCCTTTCACAGTTGTTACCATAGTATGATTAAATATTGGAATTAACAGATTTGGCAGGAGTTATTTAGAAATATGAAGAATTCGAGGCCTAATATAAACTTAAGAAACTTTTTTGGGTCAGATATGAACGAACCCTATTTTTAATAGGTGTTATTTAAAACAGGATAACTTAACCCCCTTGAACTTGGGGGTTTTGCACAAAACTCCCCTAAGTTTTGTTTATTCCAATACTATTTAAACCCCAGAACATGGGATGTCTTGTATAACCAGTGGCGGATCCAGAAAAAATTTCTTGAAGGGGTGGCCGACAAATATCTATTAATTTAAAAATGAAAATATAATAATATAAAACTGTAACACCTAATAGAAATGTAATTTAGTATACTTTATTAGCTTAATGCGTCATATTTTGACTGTAATAAACAAATTGAGAACTTTCAAAATAATTTACTTAAATAGACTAAATTCAAGTAGCTTGCTAATTGTTTAGTGATCTATAGGTGAGAGTTGGGGTGCAAATATTTTAAAATTAGGAGGGGCGGATTACAATAAACCTATTACTGGTGAAATGACCAAAATGCGCTTTTTCAAACATGACACCCAAAAATTGAAAGAGAAAAAAAAAGAAGAAAATGGTTAAGTTTTAATAAACCGAAGGGTATTTTCATCCTTTGTTGTCACATGCTTAGAGCGTGACCCGGTCAAGTTCACCGTGCTGCTTTGGGAGCTCAAGTGAGATAAGTTTAGGGACGTTAAGTGGAATTAACTGAGATCAAGGGATTAAAGTAAAAGTTACCTTTAAAACAACTATTTGGTGTAAGCTAGAAATATGAAGATTTAGGAGCCTAATATAAAACTGAAAATACTATCCATATAAAACAAGAAATATGCAAGAAGAATTGAAGAGGGGAAAAAAAGGAGGAAAAAGAAATGAGAGATAACTAGAATGCTCACATTTCGACATAGCCGTCGAAGATTTTGGGTCAAACCCAATAATCAATGCAAGCATAGGAACAAATATCCCTCCACCTCCAACTCCTCCGACGCTCCCAAAAGCCGCACCGAAGAAACCGATCAATGACCCCAACACAATTTGCCACCCAAATTCCATCGGCTATCAATGAAAAAAAACAAAATTCGAAATTAATTCAGTTTCAACCTCAACAAGCACCAAAAAGAAGGGTCCCTTTTTATCTGGATATTGGCTCCTCAAATCTGAAGTATAAGGAATCTAGAATAAGCCCCATAAAAATACCCCGAAAGCTCATTTGGAAATCAAAAAAAGAAAAAGAAAAATAGCCAAAAAAGAATTGCAAATATTACCGGCCAAACATGATGGTAGGAGGACCCATCGGCCTCCCACAAGAAGTTAGCAAGCTTTGTGAAGTAACCTAGCTCTTTGGTGGGCCCCAAGTCCTCGACCTCCATCATGGCTGCCGCCAATGAGAGCGAGAGCGCTACAGATACGAGGAAGAAGAAGCCCCATTTTCCGTCCATTTTCCCGCTGAAAAGGTGGATGAATCAAACCGAGGATTCAATAAAAAGAACGAAAAGGAGACGCGTTCAAGTTTTTCTTTTTCTTTTTCTTTTTCTGGGGGGTTCTTTTTCCTTAGCACGATGATATCGGAGACCTTTGCGGGGAATCCGGTAATAATTGAAATTGAATGAAGAAGAAGGAGAAGTGAAGGGCTCGCTCGGTGCAGAGACGTCGTGGTTAAAACGCTTTTATTCTTATTCACTTTTTTTTTTCCCGTATTTATAAGAGAAGAGATGCTGAGATTCTCCAAAATACCCTTTCAGTATTAAAACTCGTCCGTTTTCGGGTTGGTTTGATTGGATGAAATTTCGAACCCGGATTCAATTGAAAGCACATCACCCGAAGTATATAATTTTAGGAAGAAATACCATAGATTGGGACATTTTCACAAGCGCGATAATCGTAAAAGTGGGACAATTTTTTGAAAGTGTGGTAATTTATTGGGATAATTAAGAAATTTTTTAAACTGAGATATTATGATAAAATGATGTCGGATAATTTTTGACAATGAAGAAGTGTAAATTTATGTATATAATTATTATTTATATATTTTTCAACTTAGTATTATTATATATATAATTGTTTACTGTAACAATGTTAGTTAATGTTGGATAAATTTTTGTTAGATTACATACTATTAATTGTTAATAATTATTACAATATTAATTTATAACATTGTTTATTTTTTTTAATTTACATGTCTAATAAATTAAAGTTTTTTTTTCATTTTCTAACTCCCCCAAAATCTATTTCTTCATATCTTAATTTTAGTTATTTTTAAATAAGTCGTGTGTGTGTGTATGAAAGATGTTCATAACGTGGAGCCTTAGATTCAATCTAAAGAAGCGTCTCTTGATTCATGAGTCAGACTATACTAATTGATGATCTTTTCTATTAATCGTGATCTAAATATCTCAAAACATCTATAGAACAAAAATCATGATGATTAAATATTTCTAACATATATTTTTCATTGTCTCTTTAGTTATATATTCGTAAAATCGTTAATTTTACAATCACTTGATGTATGAGTAACTACAACCTAATATGGCTAATTTATTATATGTATACAATCCAAAACATATAAATAAAAATGAACGGAGTGGATCGAGTAATTTGATAGCATATATTATAGTTTTGAAGGCGCTACCTTAAATTAAATCTAAGGTGCCACCTTATGAATATTTTTCTCATATATATATTATTTGATTATAAAAAGAAAATAACATTTAAAGGAGAGGCAGTCCAATTTAATTGCATCAGTTGATGATGGTGGTGACCATCAGAGGAAGAGAGGATGGAGGAAAGAAAATAAATAAGTAAAACAAAAAAAAAGAGTCTTAATTTTTTAAGAAAATTATGTCTAGACCCTAAAAAACTAAAGGGGATGTGACCCAACCCCTCTATATTTTTCCATTACTCTTTGACCCAAAAAACACTAAAAAATGTGTTCAGGCATATTTTCACACTCTCCCAGAAATTCATCCCAATACATTCTGGAAATAACATTTCCCTTTATCTTCTTCTTCTTCTTCTCATCCTCTGCGGCTTTCTCATCCTCCTCTCACTCTCCTTCCCCTTCTCCCCCTCCTCTGTGGCTTCATCTTCTCCGCGGCCACCGACGCTGACGCCGATATACTCTTCCTCAGCCTCCTCGAGCACGAAGAACTCCCGACGATCACCGACGTCGTCTCGTTCTGGTCGGATCTCAAGTGGAGGTCCGATCCAACGACATTGGATCTCAAGTGGTGGTCTGATCCAACGACATCGGATCTCAACATCTCGTTCTGGTTAATGAAGAACTACCATATGTTATTTCTGTTGCCTCATCCTATCATGTTTCTGTGGTTCTCATCTTCTTGTTATAAATCATGAACGACTTCTATACATTTGACGTGATTTTTCCTACTAACATTATGGATTTGCTAAAGTTTGCCTATTGATCAATGAGACGGTGGACATGCCAAATTGCATAGCTTGTTTAGATATTTTTCATTGCTTTCACATGCTCTTTCCATGTCTCTTTTTCATTGCTTTCACATTGCTCTTTCCATGTCATTTTTTAGGGCTTAGATTTTGCTTTTTTATTTTAAATATGTAACTTCATAATGTTGAATGAGTCCGTTTGTCACTTCAATACCAGATTCCTTGTGTTGCCTCCTTTGTTCCTCTTTATACTCATGTTTATGCCTAAGTTGTATCCTATTGATATGAAGATCTGTTATGCCCACTGCCCAGTGTAATGTTCTGTTTAGCTTTTGGTATCTAAATCAAATTAGTCATACTAAATAGATATACCGGGGAGCATTTATCTTTAAGAAGTGTGATTATGTGTAAAGGTTGAGCTTTTGAATGTTTTATGAGCTTTGGGAATTCAAGTATGAGTTCTTGTGATAAGAGCAGAGAGGGTGAGGAGATTAAGCTGCAGGTGTTCGACGCGAGGCCTTAAGGAGAATTACTGGTAGGAATCTCAACGACCTACCTCTTGATTGGGTTCGTCGCATTGCCCGTTAGCATCACAGGCCCGCTGGTTTTGGATGGGAAGACTTACTACATGCCGATGGCCATGACCGAATGGTGTTTGGTTGCGAGTACGAACAGAGGGTGCAAGGCCATTGAGGAGTCAGGTGGGGTCTAGAGTGTTGTGCCTAGGGATAGGATGACGAGGGCCCCGGTGATGAGGTTTGTGCTTAGGGTACAAGGCCATCATGGAGTCACGTGTCAGGTTTTATTATTCAGCTGATTATACTATGTGTTCTTGTGGTTTGGATGTACTTAGATCAAAATTTAATGAAATGTATTATGTCTATTTAGTGATCAATTTTGGTGTAATTTATTACGATTGTATGTGAAATGTATTGTGGTTGTCATGTGAATATGTACAAGTTCATTCAAATAAAACTTGATGTGTATAATAAACTGAAGATTATATATAAATTATGTGTATCAAAACCTGAATATTATGGTACATACTATGTATATAATATAGAGGTTATTGTGTACATAATATATTTACATATTATGTACATCATCTTCAAGTTACGATACACTGTTAAATCTCATAATATGTTAACTTTCACTATTACAAGTTAACTTTCATCATTATATGCTAACTATCCTCATAACATATTAACTTCCAGCTGAACATGTTAACTTTTATCACATTATGTTAACTTTCATTGTTACATGTTAACTTTCATCATAATATGCACATAATCTGTATATATTATGTACACAATAACCTCAAGATTATGTGTACGTATTCACATGACAGCCACAATACATTTCACATGCAATCGTAATAAATTACACCAAAATTGATCACTAAATAGACACAATACATTTTATTAAATTTTGATCTAAGTACAACCAAACTACCTCCACGGTAACCTTTCATCCTATAGAATGTTAACATGTTCAGCTAAAAGTTAACATGTTACGAAGAAAGTTAATATATTATGGTGAAAGTTAACATGTAATAGTGAAGGTTAACATATTATGATGAAAGTTAATATGTTACGAAGAAAATTAACATGTTATGAAGAAAGTTAACATATTATAATGAAAATTAATATGTTACGAAGAAAGTTAACATGTTACAAAGAAAGTTAATATATTATTATGAAAGTTAACATGTTATAAAGAAAGTTAACATATTATTATAAAAGTTAACATGTTACGAAGAAAATTAACATATTATTATGAAAGTTAACATGTTACGAAGAAAGTTAACATGTTACAAAGAAAGTTAACATATTATTATGAAAGTTAACATGTTACGAAGAAAGTTAACATATTACAAAGAAAGTTATTATATTATTATGAAAGTTAACATGATACGAAAAAAGTTAGCATAATATGGTGAAAGTTAACATGTAATAGTGAATGTTAACATATTATGATGAAAGTAAACATGTTCAACTAAAAGTTAATATATTGTTATGAAAGTTAGCATGTAACTGTGAAAGTGTACTCAGTCATAATACAAAGTGTACGCCCATTTCGTTTGAACTCTCGTACTGCGTTATATCCTTACCTAATTGGAATCAATCAAACTTTTCATATAAGCCCATAATCAACCTTGAAGTGCGTAGGAAAGATAAAAACCACTTTGTTTGTAAGGAAATATTTAAAAATTAACATATAAATGGAACAACTAATCTCTTTTCAACAAGCAGAAAAAACAATCATCTGTGAAATTATAAATATATTTGCTAAACAAATCATAAGTGCGTGAATCCATGGAAAGCCTAAACAAGTAACTCATTCAAGCAATTCATCAAACATCCATCAAACAGATAACATTAACAACAACAAACCCACACACGTACACACACACACACATGAATCTACACAAAATGGAAATCCGCATTACCTTCAGCAGCCGCGACAGGTTCAACATCTCCACTACTTGCACCTGCTTCCATTAGTTTTACTAAAAGAAGATAAAGTGCACATGTCATTAGAAGAGGTACGCATTCTGACTCACTCATCTCTCAGAATTGCCCTCCAAATAGGGAAATAACCGTAACTACACTGGAAGTTGGTGGAATGGTTTTAGTAGGGGAGGACGTTTGAGCGCCAGCAGGTTCGTCATCTATTGCATCGTGCATTTGCTGGACAAAGCTGGGCTCCTCGATTTCCATAAGTCCGAAAGAAGCAGTGTCAAATTGAATTTCCCCTTCTTCTCAACCCCCTATGAAAACCTAGTGCGGAATAAGTTTAGATCTTAAAACAAAGAGGAGTTAGAGAAATGGAAATAAGGATGAGTCATTACCTTGTTCGTCGACAGGAACATCGTGGGTAGACTCCTCTTCTAAGGCAGGTAGAGAAGTACGCTGTCGGTGTACAACCTTCTTAGTCCTTTTAGTGGATGCGCTTCTCCCAGAGTATCGAATCTTTCATGGTGGTATTTTGTGCGCAATTCGGCTTTTGGAGAAGCCTGAGCAGGAGTTGACGATCGATGTCTTTTTCTGATAAAAGGCATTGTATCTATTTCCTCCTCCTCATCCTCGCTAAAGTATCTAATCGTCATCTAATTGGGACGGGTTAAGATGAACCTCTGACGGGTACTGATACAGGTGTATCTTCTTCCTTACTTCGGGAACTTAACAATCCTCATCAGGAGTGTGAGGATAGATGATTCTCATGGTATCTTAAGAATAGAGACGTGAAAGAAGTCGTTGGGGGCGAC